CGCTTCCTTCCCTAAACTCCCAAACTTTCCCTAGCGCCACTGTGCCTTGGGGGGGGGGGGACCCAAAGGGGGAGCCGTTTCTCTCCCCTCTTCTGCCGTTCCCCCACCCAACCAGTATCCCGCTTCTCCTTCCTCTCACTCCGCCCCCTCCCCTCCCTTCCCCCGATTAACTTTTGCAACGAACGGACTTCTCTCGCCTGAAACTTTCTTCCCCTCCTGATTGGATTCTTTTGGTTAAGACAAACGCCTCGTCCATCCATCGTGTGTAGATTTTCCTCGGGGATTCCCCCCCCAATTGTTTTTTTCCTTGGCGGGGCGGGAAAAGAAAAGGCGCTCGTGAACGTGGCTTCTTTGGGAAAAGCAGCTGCATTTGGATGATCCCAAGACATGTGAAACAGGTAAGCGGGAGATGCAACAGTTGGAGTGGGGGTGGCGGCCTGGGCGAAAAGTTTCTGAGTCTGGCGTGCGAGACACACTTGTCTTTGTAAGCAGGTCTCCAGTCTGTAACCTTCTCTTCGGCTGCTTTTGTAGGCTGTGCTTCGTTGTTGTTGTTGTTGTTTTTTAATATTGTAATGTTGGGTCAATTAACAAGCAGTTTCTGAGATCTGATGGGTTTTCTGTTTTCTGAAGAATAACTTTAAATAGAGTGTATGTTGTAAGCTTTGCATGCAGAAGGAGGGAGTGTTGGAAATAAAGTGAGTTTTGAAAGAAACTAGCTAGACCTTATCCCTCTTCAGTTCCCTAGGTTACTATTTGTGGTGTTGGTAAAACCTGTAAACAGCTTAACTTTCCTGCTCCATGGCTGACTTCCCAGCACTGCAGAGTGACTTCTGTCCTTCAACTTTCAGCCAGCCACCCTCCCACTCTCCACTGGGTGGGTTTACCTTTGCACTCTTTGTTCCCCACCAGTCAAATCTCTGCTAGCCATCCATCAAGGTAGCATCTGTTTCTGTTCCTTGCATGGCAAAATCTTAGCCTGGCCTTTCCCCGCTTGATGTCTTTTGGCTGAGTTGGACTACAGTTCTCACCATCCCCAGCTAGCCTGGGCAAGGGAATTTGGGGAGTGGGGACAAGTCCTTTGATCTAGAACATATGCAAAAGAGGTGTGTATATTTAAAGATGATAAATAGAATGAGGACTGCTGATTTTGAATTCTTGGAGCAAAAGGGCCCTTTGGATTACAAGTTTCTTGTAAGAAAGTCTGCTGAGAAAGTGCTGCAGGAATGAAGGGAAGGGGGAAAGTCATGCCTAAGGATGTTTTCTCCTCCCTCGTGATGTCTTTATTCCAGTGAAATGGGCACTGTAAAGTTCATCCCGTATGAGATCTGCTTTTTTTTCTAAGCATACTTTGTAGATCCTCTTAGTGCATTGGGTTTTACAAGTTCTAAGCTGCTCCCAAGAATTTAAGACTCTAAAAAAGCCATACTGTAGCAGTACAAACTCCCTGTAGTTATTGTGCATCCAAATGTGGCCTTAGAAGAGGCCCCCAGATTTAAGAGGAAAGAGACAACCTACTCCTTTTTGTCTTTTCCAAAGGTATAAGTTTCACACATTTGCTCGTGTGAGTGTATATCACAAATTATGTATATAGTTAATTTAGAATACAATTGTCATCATTTAGAATTCCTAAAATATGGTTCCAATTTTGGATGTACTTAGATGGGAGCAATAGCGTGGAAAACATGCTTTTTCTGGTTTTCTTCTCTATGCTAGGTGTGGGTAGCCCTCCAGATGTTGCTAAGTATAACTTCCATCAGCCCCAGCTAGCATAGCAATGGTGAGGGATGTTGGCAGCGATAGTTTAGCAACATCTGGAAAGGAACAAATTCTTCATTGCTGCTGGATATTAAGAGCCCAAGAATTCTTATTTTCTTCTATTATTCAACTCATTCACCTAAGTGTTGCTGGATTCTTCTTTACAGTCAACTATAGCACGTTGAATGACTAGCTAATATGTGAATCAATTTCAGTGGAATCAGCAGTGTGTTTCAGGCTATGAGAAAACTTTTTCATGTTGAATCTTGTGACATCAGATGAAGTCAGAGTAGACCTTAAGCTGTGGGCCAGACATGTTTGAAACCGCTTATGTTGAGGCCAGGAAACAAAGTAGGTTACACAAATTTGAAGTCTTCTAGAACAAAGCCCAGTGTTCTGTCCATCACTGCATCATGCTAACAATTTTTTCAGTAAGTTGGGTGAATATCTGAGAATGTTTTGTACACCCATCCCATTTGTAGAAGTATTTTTGGGGGGTGCTCTAATTTGCCAGTTCTTCTGGACTCTGATACCATGAATTCTTGCATTATTAAAATGGCAAGAATCACAAAAATATGGTGATGACATTAGCATTCTGGGTACAAATGAAAGCATATTGGTAAATCATGCAAAAACATTGGCAGTCTTAACAAACAGAGTCAGCATTAGGAATGACAAATTTCCTAATGACAAATTTAGAATATTGCTTCATATATGTTATCATGATTACTGTTGGAAAATCTTTTTCTACTCTAGAACATAAAACAGAGCATGGATTGACTTGCCTCATGTGTAGTATCCAACCAGTATGTCTTAAAAGATGGGCAGTTCAAGTAAAGCTGAAATATTCAGGTTCTAGGAAAGTAGAAACATAGGAAATTACCTTCTACTCACTTAACTACGGTCAGTGACGTCCTGGGTTTTCAGGGTATTAGGCTGGAGTTTCTTCATACCTCTATCTGGGAGTGCTGAGGATTAAACCAGGGTTCTTCTGTGGGCAAATCTAAGTGATAGTTCTACTTGTAATTGACCTATCACTGGATTAAAGAAATAATAGAACCCACCTACCTTCAGCCTGGGATTATTCTGATGTACTGGACTACATAGCCTATAATTCCCAATTAGCATGGCCAGTGACTGGTGTTGGCTGAAAATTGTGGAATGTCCAAACATTTGCAGGATATTAAATAAGGAAATACAATAATAGGGACTTTTGAGGAATCATGCATGGGCTCATGCTGCATTCTATTATTTTTAATTAGTCTCCTTGAACATTCAGATGGATAAACAGTAGTAAAAATTCAAATGTTATTTCTTTTGATATATTTGACTTCAGCAGATCTTATCTTCACCGAAGTGTTTCCTCCCTGTGTAAAAGAAGTGAGCATGGTACTTCTAGGTGGCCTCCAGGTTGCATTCTGATAAAATGCTTCCCTAGAAATAGAAATTATATGGTGTGAAATTAATTGGAGATAGCTTTTTTGCCAGGTTTTTCAGAGTGGCTAATTCTGTTCAGGAGTCCTGAGGCTCAGTTCTGCCCCCTCTCCCAAAAGTTGTTCTGACAGAGCATGCTCAGTTCTCCTTTGCCTGTTTTTGTTTTTATCTCTATTTGGAGTTTAACGTGTTTGTTGAAATAGTGGACAGATCTGTATAATCCCACCTACATTACATTACTGGATTTTAAATACTTTGTAGATGTATTTCCTTGAGAGAAGCCCTTATTTATTTAGAATGTCTAGCAGCCTGGAGTTTCCACAGTTGTTCCTTCAGGAAGACACTTGATTTATCAGTGCTGTAGGCTTGCAGTTGCATGTTGATAGAGCATTTCTTCCATCTCCAGTTTAAAAATTATATTAGCAGCTGCAGGAAAGATATGAGGCCCTCGAAAACTTCTCCCAATCTGAGTCAAGAGTTTTGGGCTAGATATACAAATAGGCCACTCTGGTATAAGACCCCATTCTTCATAGATTTGTTTGCTCTGGAGCTATTTTGCTGTGGTGTCTTCTTTTGATGTTGCTTTTGGCTTGTGCTGATGATGTTTTAGAGTGTAAAACATTATCTGTTGAGAAAGTTTAATGGGATTTTTCTCTTTTTCACTTTGTAAGATTCTTGGACTTAGCTGGAATGTGGCTACTTCAAAGAGATTTAGGAAGATGCCATATACCAAGTCATGGTATAAGAAGAATACAGCTGGATCAGACTAAATGACTAATCCCTTATGAAGTCCACAAGCAGGATATTAGGGCAGTAGTCTTCCCCTTACTCCATGACGTGCTTGCAGTTCTGGTGGTAATATAAAGCTATTGTGATTAGTAGCCATTGATAGACTTAGGCTCTATGAATTTATTTATTCCTTTTAAAGGCTACATTGATGACCAGAACTACATTCTCCAGAAGCAAGTGCCATAGATTTCTGTGCAATGAAGAAGTGTTTCGTTTGATCTCCCGAAGCTTCCAATTTTTATCCATCTACCTCTGTATTATCTTTACAGATTGTTAGTAGCTCTCCAGATTTTTCTAATCAGAGTTTTTTCAACTTTATCTGGAGATGTGAAGAATTTGAACCTTGGATTTTCTGTGTGCAAAGTATATGCTTTTCCACTGAGTTATATGACTCTTCCTGAATATCACTGGATGCATCAAATAGAAATTATAATATTTCTTTTTTGGCTCAGGCTGTCTGTTAAATATTGGATGCCTTTCACAACAAAACTAGAACCATTAGCTGCAGTAAGCATGTGGGGAAAATGTGTGAATTCCCTTTTGGAAGAATGCGTATAGGAGGAAGACTCATCTAGAAGCATTTATAAATTGAAATCCAGTGCAGCTATTCATCAATGGATTCAGTATTAACTCTCTTCAGCAAACAGGATATGCTTTTTATGAACTGAGATGGGCCTTCCTTTTTGTTTTTGACTAGAATTAGGAAGGTAGATTTTGATTATGATTGTTGCTGAAATAATGCATAATATAGTCATGTTATAAAACGTGCAAGTTCTGTATGCATTCTGGGTTATGCTATAGGCCTTTTGAAATAGATTAAGTGAACTATCAACTATTTGTTCTTCTGATGCTGTGGATGAATAAGCATCCACAGCATCAGTGTAACTTTTATAGCCTTATTTTGCTTCATTTTAGTTTTATGCTATTTTTTACTTGTATTTATTTATATCTCACTTTTTCTCCAGGAACTCAAAGTGGCTTTTATATGGCTCTCTATTTTATCCTCACCAGAACAACCCTGTGGGGTAGGGTGGGCTGTGATATAGTGATTGATCCCAAAATCATCCTGAGACTCCCATGCTGAGGATGCATGACTTTTGAATTTGGATCTTCCCAGCCTTGATCCAACACCTTAACTGCTGTGTGACACTAGTAAAAAACACAAGTTGTTATCCATTGTAATGGAAGTGGACATCCCTTCTACTTGAGATTCTGTTCTTAGGAGAGCAGATTTGAAGGCATGTGGTAGCTGCCGAGGAGAGGAAGAATTGCCCTTGCCTCTTCCATGAGTGAAAACGAATTCTGTTCATTAAAATACGCTATTGGATTCTTCCCTGATATCTGCTTTTGGGACCAGTTTGGGTAGAGTTCATGAGTTTGTGCCCTCCTTGGTCTTATCCCAATTAATTGAGAGAGTTGC